CTAAACCTAAAATTAACCCCTAAACCTAAACCCCCTAAACCTAATCCTAAACCTAACCCTAAACCTAACCCTTAACCTAACCCTTACCTTAAGTTGAATTGGCTTGCTTTCAAAGCGCTATTTAAAGCGCCCTTCTTTTTCCGCGTTCGCTGTTGTCGCCTCCAGCATTTAATCGGGCGTGGCTTAGTCGAGCGCAGTTTTGTCGTGCCACGGCACATTGGCACCCTCTTCCAATCCGAAGGGAAGCGGGATTTGAACTTGGGACCACAGCAGGTAGAGCTGGAAGGTGATCATCCCCGTCCTCTAATAGGAGCTCAGAGTTGAACTGGGGGGTGGGGTCCCTGGGGGTCTCTGAACTTGGTGGTTTCCCTGCAGACATTTCATCACCCAACGAAGTAACATCATCAATGCTAGTAGGGGGAGGGATTTGGGAGGAGGAGGAAGAGGAGGAGGAGGAGGAGGAGGAGAAAAGACTATGCGCTCCTTGGTGCTCTCTGAGCTTGGTAATTTCCCTGTGGACATTTCATCACCCAACTAGGTAACATCATCAGTCTCAGCTGAAGCTGCCTACCTTTGTCTGCAGGCTGTGGCCGGACCTGGACTTCTTCCAGACTCCAGTCCATGTTTCCTTCAGGTGTCCCATCCTGGGAATTGTGGCTTAGGGGGCTGGAACATGTTGGGGTCTGGTCTGGTGCTGTATCTCTTGGGCTCTTCTGCTGCTCACAGGTGAAGACCTTGTTGGCAAGAACTGCGCCAAGAAGAAGGAACTCCAATGAAGGACATAGGGTAGGTGGCTACCACAGTTGGACATCCCAAGTCTCAGAGACGGTTCTTTACTCCAGAAATCCTCAGAGATCACACCAATGGTGGCTATTTTAGGAGTAACCTAGAAAGATTCTCCATCTACTCCTCTGATGGGTGGACGATATAAGTCACCACGATTGGCTTGGACTGACTTCTCCTGACCTGGTTTGATTCCCTTCCAGGCTGTCATGAGACATTCAATTAAGTTTCCTCCTGGAAACTTCCTCCTCCTTCCTCTACTTTAAGCCACCTGAGATATTATCCCAGGGGTCCAAGAAGATACCAAGGAAGGAACATGAGGGCCCCCAATAGCCAACCAAGATCTCCTAAGCCCTGATAACCTGCTCCTTTCCCTGGAGGTTTTCAAGAAAAGATTGGCTGATCAAACATCTGGAATGGAAGGAGGGCCTCCTGCTTTGGATAGGGAATTGGTGTAGAAGACCTCCAAGATCCCTTCCTGCCCTAGGATTCTTTCATCCATACTTCGACTGCTGTGCAGAATGCTTCCTTCCTGATCTCACCCTTGGGGCCCTTGAGGTTCTCCAAAGAAATCTCCTCCTCCCAGCAAACCAGGATCCTCCCCCAAGATCCTGGTTTAAGTCCCCAAAGAGGCCAACTCATTGTCACCTCCATGTTACGTACGTGTGGAAGGTGGCCCATCTTCCCTTGCTTCAGATGCTCTGGACATCACATCCTTCGGAGCTGTGGAGCATCGTAGAGGGTGGATGGAGGGAAACATCTGCTTGACATCTTCAGTGTCCTTCGCGTCATTCTCCGGGTTGCCACAGAGAGAGGCAGAAGATGCTTCACCGCCCCCGTCGGCAAAGTTGGCCTCTCGTGTGTAAGGTAACTGCTCTTCCTCTTCTACAGGGAGTTGGGCGGGCGGACACTTCCTCTTACCCTCCAACATCACCTTCGGTCCTACAAGAACATCCCTCTCGGATCCTGGGAACAGGTATAGAAAGTCAAGAAAACTACGTTAACTAGAGGTGTCCAAGATGGGAAGATCTCGTGTCTCATATTCTGCTCTGGAATTGAGATCTTTGATTCAAGAGGTTCATCTAGACCAGGGTCCACCACCACCACCACCCCATCCATGGCCCACTTACTGGGCCACACAAGCGTTGGAGGTGCACGCTCAAAGCTCCGATTGTGTGAGTGGCGGTTGTGCAAATAGAGCTGCACAGCCTCAAGTCTACGCCTGCCACTTATGAGAAAAACCTTCCCTTCTTTCTCCCTTCCCCTCTGCCACCGCCACTGCTGGTCCACAAAACCAGAAGGGTTGGGGGACCATGGATCTGGTCAGCCTCTAATCCCACTCCTCTTAAACATCCTGGAGTTCCCGAAGCCCACCTGGCAGCTGATGTCGACCTTGGCCCCCATCCCACCAGGTTGAACTTCCTGGGCTCTGCTGGTCCCTTTCGGTTTCACTGCAGCTGGAGGAGGAGGAAGAGGAGGAGGATGTGGAAGAGGAGAATGCGCTTGGTGGGTTGAGATAACTTGGCCGTTGTATTGGGATTTCCTTCAGGCAGTTCATCAGCCGGTGGAGGGGAGAATTTTCAGCAGCCACTTCCAAATCAGAGGCACATGGTGGAGGGAGGCTCCCTGTGGGGAAAGAGAGAGGTGGACATAAATTGGTTCTGAAAAGGAGGATGAAGCTGGGTGGCTTGGCTGCATATTGAACTGGGTCAAGCTGTGTCCTCTCCAAAATGTTGGTCTAATCTGACATAGTCCCACAATCACATCATAAAGAATCTCTATCTATCTGTCTGTCTGTCTGTCTGTCTGTCTGTCAGCCTCTGCTTTGCTATCGCTTCGGCTGCC